TTTCAGGCCCAGATTCTTTACCTGTGGAAGAATAAAACATAAGTAGCCTCTCCCTCTCTCCTTTTATCATGTTTACCTAATGAATCTACAAGTGACAGTGCAAAGCCATCAGACCTAGATCACTCCCCGGCTTGAGGTGCCCTCATACCCCGGACTCCAGCCTCGGGGCAGTTCTAGTGTATCCGCCAACTCCGAACAGACAAACGACTGTGACATATATAGCTTCATTGAAACAAACCTGTCCCACCCATCTGATTGACAACTACGCTAAACCTGTGAATAGAACGTTTTAAAATAAATATTGTTATTCAAATAATTCTACCACACACACACACACACTTAAACTTAAAACATTTCATTCTTAAAACACTTTCTTCAAATACACACCAAAAAAAAAAACTTTTTCGCTGAACATAAAAATCCTTTCTTCAAATATATAAAAAAATATTATATTTGTATTTCTGTTTGTAAAAACACTTCGAGTTTACACGTCAATCTTTGGATATTTCGTGAAACAACATGGCGCGATGATCGTCTGCTTGGTTTGAACACTTCCTAAAATCTTCAGTAAACATTTGTCTTTGTTCTTGTGATGTTGAAGGATGTCGTCATCCCCTTGTTGTAGAGCTTGGTACGTGGTGACAAGCTACTTATGTTGTATTCTTACACAGGTAAAGAATATCGGCGTAAATCGTCTCAAAATAAAACGCTACGAAAAAAACCAGAATATCTGAGCAGATGGAGAATTGAAACCAAAAATTATTGAATAATCTTTACAATTAACTTGATTATTTTCATTCTTCTTCTTCCCTTAAAGACTCGGGTTCCAATTGTCATTAGTTTTCTACGGATTCTTTTATTTCAACAGCCCTTCATATTCCCTTACAAATGAAATGGGGCTTAGCGTCCTATTTTTCTGCGCCGACTGGGCTAATGAAAACTGCATATTCCCTTACAGAAGTTGAAAATCATAAAGTCTGTCATAGCTGCAAGAGTCATGGCTTGGATTCTTATATTGTGTATAGCCACCCTGACACTTGTAGTGTTTTCGTTCAAGCAATAACGCACACTTCAGCGTGTCAATGATTAAAGTCTTCAGGAACGAGTGTGAGGGGTGCGGGCATGTGTGCTATGTCATAGAGATAATTTGAAATAAAAACTAGCTCATTTCGGGACTAAAACATGGTTCAATTTTATTTAATTAATTGCATGTAGGGGTTTTCAGGAGTGGGAGAAAACCGGAGGACCCAGAGAAACCCGAGGATGGATAGGCGACCATATGGCTAACCCCAGGGTTTTTAGAACACCAGAACCGGAGGACCCGGAGAAAACCCAGGATGGATAGGTGACCATACGGCTACCCCCAGAGTTTTTAGAACACCAGAACTGGAGGACCCAGAGAAAACCAAGGATGGATAGGTGACCACACAGCTACCCCCAGGGTTTTTATAACACCAGAACCGGAGGACCCGGAGAAAACCTCTTGATGGATTGGTGACCATACATTACCATCAGGGTTTTTAGAACACCAGATACCACTTGTCATTTCTTTGAAGAGACAGGTCTTATGATACAGCACGCACGTTCTAACCATTCGGCCATCCAACCCCCCTTTTCTTTGAAGAGTTCACATAACTAACAACTTTTGTGCACTTTTGTTTTTTGAATATATATATTTCTAAAAATATATAAATCTAGTTTGACTATGACTGGTGATAAAAAGTAACACGAACTTCCCCCCACCCACTCATCCATCCCTGTCAGACCCCCTCCTTTTATTTCTCCATGTGTAATGGAAGTAGTTTCTATGTAAATGGTAGTGTAGAGTATATTAGGTAACAGGGCTATATAAAGGATCTATCGAGTTAGTCGTTCATCTATTGTATTTTAACCGTTGATTTATGGGATAAAGGCGGGGTTTAGCGTCAACTTGTGATTGTAGTTGGTGGTTTGTCGCGATTGTTTGTTTTTTGTATTGTTCTCTGTGTACGTTAACAAGCGAACCACGACCTTTTATTACCGCTAGTAAAGGATTATCCTATATTAGTCTGCTGTTGTTAACTTGGGTATTTACGAGTAACACCACAAGCGTTCGGAGATTTTGTGGAATATTTGATTTATTTGGGATATTTTAAACTTAAAGGTAAGGAAAACATTGACTACTTTTCTACTTTGGGGGTGGCTGGATAAATGGTCCCACTGCCGAACCTTGTGGGTTTTCGCTAGGTCCTCCAGTCTCCTCCCATTGCTAAACCCTGCTGTACCATTCTCTCTCACTCTCTCTCTTTCTCTCCCACCCTTTCTACTTTCATTGATTGGGGAGGGGAGGTTTTTGTTTGCTCTCTCTCTCTCTCTCTCTCCTTCTCTCTCTCTCTCTTCCCTCCCCACCCCCCTCTACTTCCATTGATTAAGGGGAGGAGGTTTTTGTTTGTTTTTACCTGAAAACAATCATTTGTTTAAAACTTATTTACCGGTAATTATACTATTGTTACAGATTTATTGTTACAAATTTATTTATTGGTCCAACCTATGTTTCTGCCTTTATTTGTCATGACCACAACTAGAAATAAGTTTGAAACATTGCACAAGAATTATTATTGGTGTAGAAGACTAAAGCATTGAACGTCCTACTTTTCTTCAGGGAATCCCTATGTTTAGTTATATAACCAGTATATATTATCAACAGATGCCCTGTAAATGACCAGTGATCAGGGAAAACAATAGAGTTATTAACACCTCCCAGATAAATATACATATCACACTTTATTAATATATATAACATGATTGAACTTATAACCCATCCATAATAATCAGCACCACACAGATAATACAACTTGTTTCAGCGGCTTTTACCAATAGATATATGTAATAAACGCATTAAAGATACATTATGGGAGATTAGATAAAGGGCTGACAGTTCTCACTATGATAGTTAAAAACTAGATAATGTAATGGGAATTTGCTGAAAATTTCAGTCAAATTTATCCACTCTGAACCAAGATTTTAGAGATTGAATTTTGGGCCTAGCCTCAATCATCATTACTAAAGTCTGTAAGATAAAAAACATAGTCTTGATTATACATTTTTGTCCCCCGCCTTTCGAAGAAAGCAGGGGACTATTAAAATGGGTTCGTCCGTCTGTCTGTCTGTCTGTCTGTCTGTCCTTCTGTCTGTCCGTCTGTCTGTCCGTCACACTTTTTGGGACACAATAACTCTCTTCCTAATTGAGCTAGAATGTTCAAACTTGGTGTATGTGTTTATTAGGTCAATGCCTTGATGGAGTTCGAAGATGAGCATTTTCCGCTTAGGGTAAGCAGAGATAAGCAATTTGATTGGTTGATGCTTTGGGACACGATAACTCTCTTCCTAATTGGGCTAGAATGTTCAAACTTGGTGTATGTGTTGATTAGGTCAATGCCTTGATGGAGTTCGAAGATGAGCATTTTCCGCTTAGGGTAAGCAGAGATAAGCAATTTGATTGGTTGATGCTTTGGGACACGATAACTTTTAATTGAGCTAGAATGTTCAAACTTGGTGTATGTGTTTATTAGGTCAATGCCTTGATGGAGTTCGAAGATGAGCATTTTCCGCTTAGGGTAAGCAGAGATAAGCAATTTGATTGGTTGATACTTTGGGGCACGATAACTCTCTTCCTAATTGAGCTAGAATGTTCAAACTTTGGGGCACGATAACTTTCTTCCTAATTGAGCTAGAATGTTCAAACTTGGTGTATGTGTTGATTAGGTCAATGCCTTGATGGAGTTCGAAGATGAGCATTTTCCGCTTAGGGTAAGCAGAGATAAGCAATTTGATTGGTTGATGCTTTGGGACACGATAACTTTAGTTCTAATTAAGTGAGATTGATGAAACTTGGTGTATAGTTTCATTACAGTAATACCTTGACTAAGTTTGATAATGAGCATTTTCTGCTCAGGGTAAGCAGAGCGATACGCAATTTGATTGGTCGAGACTTTGGAAAACAATAACTCTCCTACTTTGATTGTTAGACTATAAGTAAAGATATACTGTTTGATTGTTCAATACTTTGTAAAAGATAATTTGTGATAAATTTATATGTGTCCTCTAATTATTTTCCTATTTCGGCGGGGGACATCAGCCTCACTGTTGGCTTGTTTTTTATTTAATCATGAATGAAAGTTGAGCAGTAGATGGGATCATAATCCAGTAAATATCGCAGGCTAGCGATGACATCGAGAGTTGATTATGGTCTGGATAAATTAATTAATGTCTAATTAATAATTTAGATAACATTTCAGGCGTAAAGAAAAACCTCCAATTGGCAGATTTAGCTCTTGCATAATGTATGTTTAATATAATATGGGACATAATTACTATTTTAATCGAAGTGACAATTCGTAAAATTATGATTTTGTAACCAAGCACGGAAATAAGTCACCTGACACAGACATTGTTGGACATAAATATTGCCAGGAAAATAACTTCTTGTGTGCTCCCAAAGCTTTTTAAAAGCCAACCAGTATAAATGGCAAAGAATGCCTTCTTGAGGACAGGTAGCCAGAGCTGTTTTTTATTTTAAACTGGTTTATTTGCACATCTTTGCGTTCAGACTAAAAAATTTAACTTGGGTTAACGATCATAAGCGTTTTTAAACTAAATTAAATTAAGGTACGAACTGAACAGTATATATAATTGATTGTGTTGTCTACTCTGTCTGTGTTTTGCCATGCAGTTTTCCTGTCGATCAGACATCTAAGACAATTTATTGCTCGATACACAAAATAATAAGTGGGCATGTCATAAAATTTTATACTTAATAAATTAATAACACGAGTTCACAGTCTTGTTAACAACCGACATATCCTTTCTGTCTCACGAAACCCCTTGTCAACATGAACTCTGACCTCTATATATACATGTTTATCTATAAGAATAATTAAGAAAGGTGGGCTGATGGGTATGTGAGTTCACCAAGGGGCTAGTTAGAACATTTTATATCAATTAAGTAAATATGGTCTTACATAAGACTACACTGTGTCTTTACATCCCTGGCTAGTTAACATATTAAACGACTTCCACACAGGCTTCAATCTACTGGTGGATTGGATTACCGTTAACTAAACCTTTCTTCCAGCCTATAACTTGTGGTAGTTTATTCTTCTTCTTTAGTTTGTACTTAATGTTGTCTGATCTTCTCTCGGCTTCCCAGTCAACTGATAGAATAGACATTTGTATGAAATTCAGTGGACGAGGACAGACATTTGTATACAGTTCACTTATCATATTATGTGCAGTTTACTTGTCACCTTGTGTGCAAGTATAAACGGATCATCTTTATTTAGTTATTACTTTTTTTTCATTTAAAAAAAGACTAGTACGGGATACTGTGTGGGTATTTATATTTTTTAAATTAATATGATGTCAGTTAGTTGTTGATAACGTATAGAAGCAGTGGTATTTTTGTTTGCAAACCATAACTCTGCCCTGTTCATTATTCTAAAAAAGTTAAATTTTGTTAAAAAAACCCCAAAAAAACAACAAAACTATAAGTACCATCAAATCAACTGATGCTGAAGAGTGACATTAGGATCTATTTTGTGTTATAATATAGTTAAAAGGAGTAAAAACCATTCAAAGATTTCATTTACAAGGTAAGGATTTCAGGGTTTTCAATTTTAAATTAATAAACCATTATCTTCATATCCTCCCCCCCCCCCCCCCAAACCTTTTCCCCTATTTCACAAATATATGAACAGACTTTCGTCGACGTTGATCAAGCATGTTTTAAATTAACGAATCATTATCTTCATATCTCCCCCCTCCCACAGCCCCCTCACTATCCCCTAGTTGCAACACCCCCTATTTTACAAATATATGAACAGACTTTCCTTGACGTTGATCCAACGTGTTATGATGAACAAGAGCAATTTCACAATCTTCCCACCCCATGAGGTGTAAGCGCCACTTGTGTTCACTTTCGCTTCTGGACAGTTCATATTTTAAGTCTTATATCTCCACTATTTGAGAGAGAGAGAGAGAGAGAGGGATAGAGAGATAGAACGAGGGTTAATTTGCGCACCTGCTAACTATTCGCCCCCCCCCCCCCCCAGCCCCCTGGCTGTTTGAAAACAGGCCTAGACGACTATAGACAGGGACATAAACAGAGGCAAACTTTTAATTTCAGTCCTGGACTGCGCTTTCATAATGGCAACGTGCTAAACCTCGGTGGAAACTACTGGGGTTGATCTAACAGTGTCGAACTTGTTGCTAACACTGTAAGCAAGTGGAATACGATTAACGGGAGGGGTGGACAGATTCAAAAGTCAAGCCACTTTGTGCATTTATTCAGACCATTTTTGCCGAAGTTCAAATTCCAGCTTGTATTAAAACTGTCTTATTAAGATATGTACCATACCTGTCAGTCAGGTTCTGCATGCCAAGTAATTGAAATACTTCGCTTAATTAGACTTAAAAAAACAACACACAATCTAATTTGCATGGGTGTTTTTTTCTTTTAAAAAGGAAAGAAATAAATGGAAGAAACAGTCAAATATCTGGCGTGGTTTCGATTGCACTGTCCAACCTCATGGGTTTTCTCCGGGTTCTCTGGTTTCCTCCCACTGCTAAAGACCCCTACGCGCAAGCAAATTATTGAAATAAATTTGAACCACATGTTAGTCCCAAAATGACCTGGTTTGTTTTGAGTGGAGGTTATACCCCATCTCTCTCTCCTCTCTCTCTCTCACATTAGAGATCAAAATGTCACATTATTGTTAGAGATTGACAATAATCTACATACGTAATCAATGACTTAATGTTCAAGTCTACAAAAACATGAAATATGCTGACATTTATAGAGAAAGGCCAGCTGTAGCCTTCCAAATAATAATTATAAAAAAAACTGTACTTCAATTCATTTTAGATGATCTTAAACCAAAAAAAAAACTGATTTAAATTCTTAATTTATTAAAGAATTGAAAAAGAAACAAAAAACTGATTCAACAAAAAAATCTTTCTGATGGCTAAAAATAAAAATTAGTTATTTCGTAAAAATATTTCCTTGAACTAAACAAATACATCTAGCATGCCTACTCAATTAATTCTTTCCAACTTAGTTCAAATTCATTTACAAATTCTAAAAAATCTTTTCATACAGAAATTGAAATATTTCATCGCAAGTCTCCTGAGATTATCCACATAATTACCGTCTGTGTATTCAGCGAGACGCAAGTCAACAAATTTCGCGCAAATATTTATTACAAAAAAAAGAGGGTCTTTAACAAATTCTAGTGAATGGGCTTTTAATAATGTCTTATTGTAAAAGTATTTAGTCCAAGAAATCGTTGACAATAATCGGACTTGTTCAACGAAAAGTTAGAGGAAAATTGGAGCAGCGAGCGACTCATTCTATTTCTTCTGGCTATAGAAATCTTTTATAAAGATTGCATTAAGCGTTTGTTGGGTATTTATAAGGGTTTTCCACCTGGCTGCTCTATAAAGGGATTTATCTGTTCTAGGTGAGTAGATGTGTAGGACGTCCCGTGTTCTGCGACTCAATCTAACTCTATCATTTACTAATCAGTGTATTAGTATATTCAACGATTCAGCTCTCGTCTTTACAAACATATACAATACCCTCTTCTCACCCCTTCTTACGGCTTTACCATATACTATAGTTACAGTTTAAACCCCTGTTACTCCAGTCATTTAACACTAACCCAACAACTTATTGTACATCTCCACATGTATAAAATCATTCAAAATCATCCCATTAACAATATTGTTATTCATTTCTATAAACCAACATACAGTATTTGCATAGAGTTATAACATGCTATATCATGATTATCTGCAAACTTAATGAATCTTAGAAACCGCCATTTATTTATTAAATATGAGAGAGAGAGAGAGAGAGAGAGAGAGAGAGAGAGAGAGAGAAACTAGGTCATTCGGAACTAACATATACTTCAATTTTATTTCAATTGTGTAGGGATCTTTAGCAGTGGGAGGAAACTGGAGAACAGGTTGGACAGTGGACCCTACTCCTAGTCAGCAGGAAATCAAAACCACATCACGGACTCAATGACAGACCTTTCTGCCACCCATCCCAACCACAAATTAAAGATTTGAAAACCCGAATTCTTAAATGGCTGTCTTCCAAAATAATGTTTGTTTACAGTAATTGACATCATAGAAACATAAACAATAGGCATTGTTTAAACATACATTATGCAAGAGCTAAATCTGCCTATTGCAGTTCTTTCTTAAGGTACAAAATGTTATATAAATTATTAATTAGACATTTAATAACAAAACATGACCGTACTCAACTCTTTTTTTTTTTTTTTTTTTCTTTTTTTTTTTTTCGATACCATTGGAAACTCAAGATTTTAACTAGATTAGAATGGTAAAATTTAATTTAAAAATGGAAAAGCAAGGCTAAATCTCGAAACCAAAATGCACACATCTTGTCAAAACTATATACAGTGATAACTTGGCTCAGAATGAAGTCATTTGAATGAAATTTTCAATATTTTCATTTTACATTATCTATTTTTGAGCTATTATAGCAAGAATAGTCAGCTCTTTATCTAAATCTTTAGGATATTGAAAGTACCAAAACTTAAAAACTGTGAGAATTTCTAAATTAATAAGCAAATTTCCATAATTAGTACAATTAAAAGCTGATTTATGACGATAAGTTATTCTGGCTTGCATCGTATAGACTTATACTGTATACAATTATCACATTAAATCCTTCTGTATAAAATTAGGGGGGTTGGACGGCCGAATGGTTAGCATGTGCGCGCTGTATCATAAGGCCTGTCTTTCAGTCAACTGGTGTTGTTTTCGAATCCCCTGTTGTATGTGACAAGGAGTAGGGTCGCCTGTTCAACCTCGTGGGTTTTCTCCGGGTACTCTGGTTTCCTCCCACTGCTAAAGACCCCTACGCGCAAGCGGATTATTGAAATAAAAATAAACCATATGTTAGTCCCGAAATGACCTAGTTTATGTCGAGTGGACGTTAAACCCCATTTCTCTCTCTCTGTATAAAATTATCACATTAAACCCATCTTAAGGTTCCAACACAAGTTTCTGATTTGATCAAATTTGCGGGTATTTCCCCCCCTCCCCTCCCCCGAACTAACGCCAAACTTGACGCTGTCTCCACCTTGGACCACCAGCTGCTCAAATTCCTGGACACCATTTCATTTCATTTATTTGTTTAATAAAGCACCACAGAGGAGTCAGACTGACTGAATAATCAGCGCTAAAGAAAACGATTATTATTATTATTATTATACTGTTTTGCTGCCCAATCCATTTAGATTGTGCCAATTTGAAAGTTAGTTTTCTGAGCCCTTAAGATTGTGACTAGTGTTAGGGGGATGATGTGATGTGATGTAATCTTATTCCCAGACTAGAAAAAGCTCACCCATTGACCCCTCTGTGACCTTTGATCTATGACCCCAACCCTTGACCTACCTGTAATATCATTGCATCATCAATATTATCATGTACACAAATTGCAGCTTTCATCTCTGATGTCATCAAACCTGTAAGAGACCGATATTTAATTAACCAAAGGGCAAAAATTTATCAGAGAAGGGAGAGCATAGTCTATTGCGAATGGAGTGTTGGATTGTCAAGAGGACTAACTCATGCGTTTCCTCTGTGGGCTACCTCATGGGATTTCTCTGTGAGTTCTCCGGTTTTACCCCCAGTGCTAATAAAAAGCAGGATAGGGGTACGTTAGAGGGAAGGAAGCGAGCACTAAATTATAGGAGATAGTCAGATAATTGGGAATTGGTTGAGGGGAGCGGAGGGGTCGTGGGGTATAGAGGCTTGGGGACAGAGATTGAAATTGTTAAGCAAAAGATGTCAGGTGATTTGTCAATGTTTACACGAAGACAATAAGACATCTTATTACCACGGTTACACGTCCAAAGACATGTCAACTGACTCAAGTGTCATTTTTTGTCATCTGTTTTTGTTATTTAGTGTGTGAACTAGGTCTCCTAGGTTATGATAAATACTGGACATTTACCTTATTTATATATTTAACAACGCATAGTTGTTTGGATAGGACAAAAAAAAAAGAAGTCCTGTGCACACATTGGTGTGCACATTAAAGAAACCTTAAAATTGGTATTCAATATAAGAGTAGGCCTTAGTGCTGCTGTTCAGGCAAAATTGCCCTAATAGCACACTGTATGGCGTTAAACCCCATTTCCTTTCATTTATATATATCTTACTGGAAATACTAATCTCACATAGAAATACTAATCTCACATAGAAATACTAATATTTACTAGAAATACTAATATTTACTAGAAATACTAATATTTACTAGAAATACTAATATCACATTTACTAGAAATACTAATATCACATAGAAATACTAATCTCACATAGAAATACTAATATTTACTAGAAATACTAATATCACATTTACTAGAAATACTAATATTACATTTACTAGAAATACTAATATTTACTCAAAATACCAATATCACATTTACTCGAAATACTAATAATAATAATGACTTTATTTTCTGAGGGAACATATTTAGTACATGAGTTCTAATTTTCAACATGCCCCTCCTACTCTATAAAACTATTACTCGAAATACTAATATTACATTTACTC